GTGTCCAGACCTGGGTGCCCGAGGGGCCTTTTCCCAGTTGTGTGCGGTCACAGCCGCGGTGTCTCCTCTGCGCCGGCCTCGGCCCTCACACTACCTCACCACCTCCTAGGTGGCAGGAGCCCGCTGGGGACCTCCCCTCCCCCGTTTCCCCATGCGAGACCCGGGCAGGCCCCGGCCCGCCCCCTCGGCTTAGGGGCTTCGGTTTCACTCCAGTTTCCCCACCCTGGAAGGACGGGCCCCAAAGTGGGGCACCCCAAAGTGGGGCACCCGCGGCTGGACTGGCCAGGAGTCCAGAGGGCAGTCAGCCCTGCCGGTGAACGCCGCGGCAGCCGCCCCCGGCGGGCACGGCGCTGTAGGCGTGGGAGGAGGGACGGGGCCAGCAGCGGCCCCACCACCCAGCCGGGTCTTCTCCCCAAAAGGTGGCATCCTGTGCCGGTCCCTGGCTGACCGCCGCCGCCTCAGGCTGAGCCCTGCCTCACCCCTGGCGCCTCACCCCCTTCCCGCAGGGACGTGAGGTGCTGGAGTGGGGCTGGTTCTGGCCTGGCCCGGAGCCTGGGGGAGGCGCTTCCCACCCAGCCCTGAAGAGGGTGACGGTGGATTGGGGCGCCACGCCTCAGTCGGGCGCCCAGAGTCCCGGTGGTCCGCTCTGCATTTGGGAGCCAGACCTCTGTGGTGGGAGCTCAGCTAGCAGGGCAGGGCCTGGTCGGTGCCAGCCGGACCCTCCAGCCTCTGAATGCAACCCCGCCCCCAGCCGTCTGCCTGCCCAACCAGTTCCGCTGTGCCAGCGGCCAGTGCGTCCTCATCAAGCAGCAGTGCGACGCCTTCCCGGACTGCATGGACGGCTCCGACGAACTCATGTGTGGTGAGGCTTCTGGGGTGAGGAGGGTGGGGGGCGGGGCGTGGCAGGGGCCGGCGGGGCCGGGGACTCAAGCCCTGGGGCCTGCGGCTGGTCTGGGGAGCGGCCGTGAAGCGGCCTGGCCTGCCCTGCCTGGGGCCTCACCCAGCAGCTCCTTTCTGGACGGCCCCTGAAGGCCACGGGGAGTCTGTTCCCAGGCGTCCTGCCGCCTGGCTGAAAAGATGTGACGTGTGCAGGCAACACACACATGCGCACACACCCGGTGCCACTGGCCCCCGAGAGTCACAAGCGAGGCTGCCAGAGGCTGCGAGGCCTGGGCAGTCTGGGAAGGCTTCTGGGAGGTGGTGGCTGGAGCCCCTGACAGGATGTAGGACTGTGTCCCTCTGTACCTGGACATGGCCTCTCCATTTGCGGCAGAGGACTAAGAACTGTGACTACAGGAGAGAGCAATCCTGGGGGGGCCCCCATGTGCCCTCATGCCAGTGAGAGGGCCCTTGAGGCCCGAGCCTGCACCTCTGCCGGGCATGTGTCCACTCACACCATGCCTGCCCTGGGCCTCCAGGCGACCGTGAGCCCAGTGGCTGGGGGTCTTCATCCACTGTCAGGCCTCGTGTGAGCTGGCAGGTCCTGCCTGGGGTGCTTGGCCGGCAGGAGGGGCAGCCTGACCAGAGAGGGGCTCTTCTGTCCCGGGCACAGTCTGAACCCCCGGCCTGGGCAGAGGCGGAAGCTGAGGAGTACCCGCCCAGACGGCCGTCCTGAGCCAGGGCACTGGCTGCCCCTGGGTGCAGGGCAGCCCTGAGCCACCCGGTTTTTCTCCTCACAAGTCCCCAGGACCCGGCCCTGTCCTTCTCTGCTGCTGACGAGGTGGCCCACGTGGCCCTTCAGGGGTCCTGGCCTTGCCACGGTGGGCAGGAGCCCAGTAAAGGCCTGGAGCCCCCGTGTCCAGTCTGCCCAGCCCCTGCACAGGTGGGCACTGTAAGCTCCTGCCCAGGGCCTGGTGGTCAGCTCCTTGTGCTGGGCTCTGGGAAGAAAGGAGAGTGCAGGGCTGCCTCGGGGGAGCCCTGCTGAGTGGCCGTCGGGAAGTAGACAGAGCTTGGCCAGGCAGAGGGGCCCCCAGCCCCTCCCTGCCACCCCCCATCCGTGGCCTCGCCTGGACAGAACCAGCCCCTCCAGGGAGTAGGGCCGCCCACGGGGCTGCCCTTCGCCCGGGGGTCACCTGCGGCTCCCCCCACAGAGCTCAGCAAGCCGCCTTCGGACGTGGCGCCGGGGCACAGCGGCGCGGTCGGGCCTGTGGTGGGCATCGTCCTCTCGCTCTTCGTCATGGGCGGGGTCTACTTCGTCTGCCAGCGCGTGGTGTGCCAGCGCTACTCGGGGGCCGGCGCGCCCTTCCCGCACGAGTACGTCAGCGGCACCCCGCACGTGCCCCTCAACTTCATCGCCCCCGGCGGCGCGCAGCACGGCCCCTTCACAGGTGAGGGGCTGGGGCCGTGCCAGGCCCGGCAGGCGGGTGGGCCTGGGCCAGCACCCAAGTCTCAGCTCCCAGCGCGCCACAGGTGTGTGAGAGGACGGGCGCCCTGGTCACTGGTGCCCCTGCACCGCCGGGCCACCTTGGGGAGCAGCCCTGGGGGGCCCTGGGTGTGCATGTGGATGGCACCTGCTTCTCCTTGGGGAGTGGGTGGCTTTCACTGTCGTGGCAGCTTGACAGGAGACCTACCACGGGGTGGGCAGGGGCCCTGGGGCTCCGCCCTGAGCTTGTAGGGCAGCAGGAGCCGGGGTGCCCCTGCCTGGGGCCTCACCTCCTGCCCTCCCCCCAGGCATCTCATGTGGCAAGTCCATGATGAGCCCCGTGAGCCTGATGGGGGGCCGGGGCGGGGTGCCCCTCTACGACCGGAACCACGTGACGGGGGCCTCCTCCAGCAGCTCGTCCAGCACCAAGGCCACGCTGTACCCGCCGGTGAGTGGGGGCCCGGCCTGGGGCCCGCGGGGCCGGCCTCTGTGGCCACGTTCTCTCCCACGGCGTCTGAAGACCACGGTCAAAGCCAGTTTGCTCATTGCGCACAACCTGGAAACCCCGTAGAAATCTGAGGGGTGGAGGGGCCGCCTCCTGCCCCCCCTCCTGGCTGTGGTGCCCTGTGTCCGTGTGTTCTCTGGGGCCCGTCTGGACGGGGCACTCAGCCTGCACCCCCGGGGCCTCCTCCGGTGCCAGAGCACCCCTCCGCCCACCCAGGCCGTGCGGGAAGGACAGGCTCACCCACGCCCCGGTCAGAATGCTCCCTGGTGCCGGCGGCGACCCACGTGGGTGACTGGCGGCTCTAACTGAGCCCCTGGCTGGAGCAGGAGGTGCTGGGGTGAAGGGTGAAGCCTGCGCCCTGAGCCTGCTGCTGCAGGAGCTTGTGGGGGCCTGCGCTCGCGGGCCGGGGGGAGGTCCGCGCAGGACGTGGCCTCGGCCGGGCGAGCCTGCCGCCCGCGTGCGAGGACGGCGTGTCTGGCCCGTCCCTCACCTCCCAGCTGCCTGCTGTGGTGCTCCTGGGCGGCCGGGCGGCCCCTCGGCTTTCCCGCCTTCCGCGAGCCCCGCCCGCCCTCCGCCCTCCGGGAGCCCCGTGTGGGGTGGTGTCAGCTTATCGCGCCGGCTGGAGGGGCAGCCAGGGGTTATCACCCGTGGCAGGGTGCTGCTGTGTGTGCGGGAGGCCGTGGGGTCGGCTGTGGCCCAGCAGCAGGGGCCCCGCGGACCCCGGGGGCTCAGGCCCCACTGTCTTCCCCGGCGCTGCTGGGAGCCAGGGTGACTGTTCAGCTGGGGACACCCACGTTCGCCCCCGCACGTGGCTTGGGGGATCCGGTGTGTCCCAGGGAGGTGCACACGCTGCTTCAGAGCGGCCCTCGCGCCCCCGCCCTGGAGCCGGCCGCCGGAGTTGCCCGGCTGCTCCTGCACCGCAGCTGCGTTCCTGCTGCCAGTCTCAACAGGTCGCACAGAGCCGCAGAGAGAGGCCCCCGCGCCGCGGGTGAGGCCTGGGTCCCGCGGGCCGTCCCCAGGCGCTGGGCCTGGCCTCCGCGGGGAGCTGGCTTTTCTTTCTTTCCCCTGGAGCGGCGCTCACACTCTGTGGAGGCACAGGGCAGGTGCCGCCTGCCCCAGGCCGTGGGTCCGCCTGGCGTGGCCTCGGTGCGCCCACCACAGCCCTCAGGCCGGGCCTCGGACACGGCCCATCTGCCCTGGCGCTGAGGGCGGTGGTGTGGCCCGGCCTTACCCGCCCACCCGGTCGCTCTGGGCCTGGCTCCTCGCCCCCTGCGGCAAGGCCCAGTGGGCACGGGCGGGCCATGCCCTCCATCAGCAGCCGCCGCAGCAGGGGGGTAGAGCACGCCCCCCAGCCCCCCGGCCTCTTGCCCTGCACCGCCATCACTCATCTTCTGCACCAGCTACTTGCTTAGGGGCTGCTTAGAGCAACTTCAGGCCCGCAGCAAAATTGAGAGGAGGGTGCACCCCCCGAGCCCCCTGCACGGCCGTCCTGCCCCTTACCGTCGCTGAGCCTTCACTGGCACAGGTCCCCACCGAGTCCGTGGTGGACATCGGGGCCCCTGTAATGCACCAGCAGCCCCGGGTCCTGCCAGGCCTGGTGGCAGCTGCTCATGGCTCCTGGTGCCTGGCAGGCCAGCGGCCCCGAGGGAGAAAGAAGCACGGATGTGGGCGAGGTGCACACAGGCATGATGCCCTGGAGGGCAGGGGGCATGCTGTGTGGACGCTGCACTGTGTGTGAACTCTGATGGAGCCACGTGTGCATGTGGCCAGCGTGACACATGGGTGCCACGTGGCTGGCAGGACAGGTAGGCTATGGGGCGCGTGGCTGGTGTGACATGTGGGCACCGCGTGGCTGGCGGGACATGTTAGTGCCACTTGCAGCATTAGCTCAGCTTTAGAGGCGGCTCCTGTTACCCCACCTTACTGCCACGGAGCCACCACTGGGTCCGGCCCCTCGTCAGTAGGCCTCAGGGCCCCCGTCCCACCTTGCCTCGCCCTGTCCTGAGGTGGGTTGTGCTTGTAGGGCTATCCACCCCCTCCGGTGGCCACTCTGTATCCTGAGGGCAGTCAGCAGGACACTCTGGGCCGCGCAGGACTGTCCATCTTCTGCCAGGGTCTGAGTCACAGCAGAGGTGGCCTCTGAAACCACCCTCGGCCTGTATTCCCACCCGAGGGTGGCAGGCCCCGTGGCTGCACCCGGGGCGTGGGTGGTTCTTTCCCTTGAAGGCTTCTACACAGCTGACGCCCAAGACCCACACAGTGTGGGAATATCCCAGGCCCTGTTCTCAGACAGGGCTGAGGGTGTCCACCAGCAGGCCTGGGAAGAGCCCGTCCTTGTCCTGACGGCCCTGCTGTGCGGCGTCCCCCGCAGTGGTGAGGACCGCGCCCGGGGCCAGCCCTGTTCCCACACACCCCGGCGCCTGAGGTGCGGCAGGGGACACAGGCCCGGCCGGTCCTCCAGGCCCAGGTCCTCTACCTTTTCCCTTTGCGTGTTCTCAGAGCTCGGGCAGGGGACAGGGCCGCCCGGTGGGCCAGGCAGAGTGTGCCAGTTAGACTTCGCGCCATGCGGGAGGAGCAGGCCGGTCACAGTCCAAAGGGCCATGGAGCAATCCCAGAGGAGCCTGGGAGGCTGCAGGCCGACAGGCCCAGGCCTGCCGGGACGTCGCCCACTCTGGGTGGGGCTGCCTGAGAGTCCAGGCTGGGCGTCTGGGCACGGCCCTGGGTGGTGCCCTGGGGTCACAGCCGGTTAGCAGGCAGGCCCTGAGAGCAGACCAGAACCCCTCCGCAGGGCGTGACAGCTGCTGCTTCCTGCCACGGATAAGGGGTCCGGGGGTGGGGGCATGAGGCCCGTTAGCTCAGTAGACAGCCCTCGGGGCGGGGGCGGGGGCACAGCCCGTCAGCCTCACCGTGCTTGGCTCTCCGCAGATCCTGAACCCGCCGCCGTCCCCAGCCACCGACCCCTCCTGTTATAATGTGGACAAGTTCTACTCTTCAAACATTCCCGCCCCCACCAGGCCACACAGGTATGGACACCCCGACTCAGCCCCTCCTGGCCTCCAGGCCGACTGCCGTGGCGGAGGACGGGCCCGCCCCGCCTCTGGGAGAGGAAGCCTGCGCAGGCCTGGTGCTGGTGCCAGGCTCCGGGCCCAGCCCTGCTCGATGCCCGCCCCGCCGGCCTGGCCCGGCCTGGGCTGCTTCCCAGCAGCGCACCAGCCTGCGCGTGGGGCTCAGAAGCCGGCAGACCGTGGCTTCTGGGCAGGCCGCGAAGCTTCCTTGGCTGGATCTGCAAGCTGGGCCAGCCCAGGCAGGTGGCCTTGGATGCGACCGCGGTGCTTCCTGCCCGGGCTTAGCCAGGCCCCGCACGCCGCAGGTGGGATTTGGGGAGTGGCAAGCTGCCCTGTCCCGATGTCTGGGCAGACTGACGCACAGGCCCTAGCTCGTTGGACTGGGGCGGCCCACCGCTAGCTGGGGACTCTGGCGAGGACACCCCTCTTGCCTCGGCTCCCCCTGGAACACCTCCAAACCCCTGAGTGCAGCCCACAAGGCCTGGGAGCCCCTCCTGTCTGAGCCTGGACCATCTGTCCATATTGGGGGTGCCAGTCTCGCAGCGTGGGGGACACCTGAGAACACTGACACCTAGGAGCCCGGCACCCCAGGGGCGGGCCAGAGGCTGGGGTGGCCTCCAGCCCCGGGGCTCAGCCAGCATGTCCCTCCCGGCACACAGGCCCTGGTCCTGCTTCCCGCAGGGACACAGGAGCGGGGCGGCCACCGGGTGGGCCTGGGCGCGAGCCTCGCGGAGGGTCCGCCATCTGGTGGCCGCTTCCCAGAACTCCGAGCTGGCGCAGCGGCTGCCGGGCGGGAGCTCTGCAGCCTCTGGAGAGGCCCCCCTTCCAGGCACCGCTGCCCGCTGCCCGGGCTGCCCGGCTCCGTGGGCTGTGGGGTTGGAGCAGGCCCCGCGGGCTCCGCTCCGCCCTGGCTCTGTCTGCAGGGCCCTCGTGGGAGCCTGTGCGCTGTGTCCTTGGCCTCTCACCGGCCCGGGGTGCTCTTTCGCCCGTCCCCCCACCACGCATGCTGTATCTGAGCTCCGGGGGTGATCGGGAGAAGTCTCCAGGGTTGGGTCGCGTTAACTCAAACCGGCCTGTCGGTCCCCAGCACTCGGGTGATGACAGGAGGAGGAGCACTGTCCAGCAGTGTCCGGCGCTGTCCAGCACTGGGGCGTGTTCGGCGCTGTTTCTAGCACTTCCTGTGCAGGATCTCACTGGGTGCCCACATGGCCCCTTGGGCACGGGGCACCCCATTTCATTGTTCCCCCTTTGGCCAGCGAGATAGGGGAGCCCAGCGAGGCCCAGTAAGTGGCCAGGCTTAACCAGAGCGGCCCGAGACGACCTGGGCGGGGTCAGAGAGCGCAGGGCCTGGGCTGAGCAGCTGCGTCCACCCATGTGAGAGGCCAGGCTGGCGAGGCCCAGCGGGGTCACTGGACGGGGCCCCTCCCGAGTCGGGGCAGGCCAGCCTGCTCACGGCCATGCCTCAGGCCAGGGGCTTCACGGCCAGCCCCTGACCGGCCTCTGCTCCCGCCGCAGGCCCTACATCCTCCGAGGCGTGGCGCCTCCCACCACGCCCTGCAGCACCGACGTGGGCGACAGCGACTACAGCGCCAGCCGCTGGAAGGCCAGCAAGTACTACCTGGACCTGAACTCCGACTCGGACCCCTACGCGCCCCCGCCCACGCCCCACAGCCAGTACCTGTCGGCCGAGGACAGCTGCCCGCCCTCGCCCGCCACGGAGCGCAGCGACTTCCACCTGTCCCCGCCCCCGCCCTCCCCCTGCACGGACTCGTCCTGACCTCACGGGGCGCCCTGGCCCTGCGCCCCTGTAAATAGTTTTAAATATGAACAAAGAAAAAGTATATTTTATGATTTAAAAAATAAACAGAGTTGGGGTTTTAAAAACACGAGAAATGTGAACAGTTGTGGGGCAGGTGGGGCTGGGGAAACTTTGTACAGAAGCTATTTATAAACTTAATTTTGTAAACGCCACTGCCGTTCCTGCGTGCCCTGTGTGCGTCCGAGCCTGGTGCCCCGAGAGGTGCCTGCCGCGGGCCCCCGCGCCGGTGTCGGCTCTGGGGGGCAGGTACGTTCCGCCGGCGGTGGCCGCCAGGTCACGTGGGCCCCGCCATGCCGTCCTGAAATCCTAAGTAATTTTTGAGAAAGAGGCCCCATGTTTTCATTCTGATCCTGGGCCTACGGATTCCTGACCTGGGCCTTGGATGGCCCCTGAGGGCTCTGGCCTGGGGCCAGCTGGGCTCTGCTGCTCATGGAGAGGGCACTGGGCGGGGCCTCCAGGACCTGCCCCCGAGTGGCCCCCAGTGGCGAGTGGCGAGGCTGCGGGACCCACTCGCCCCCGCCCCACGAGCTGTACCCCCGCCCACAGACGGCGGTGTGCTGGGGCCCCACAGAGCAGGCCTGGCCCACCCCGCTGGGGCCTGCTCCCCTCACCCTGGGGTGCTGGGGCTGGAAGGAGAGGGGGTGAGCCAGCGAAGGCCGCGGCTTCTCCTACTGCAGCCCAGCCTGGGGTGGGAGGGCCTCCTGGGAGGAGCCACACCCCGAGGGCCTGGCCCAACCTGGAAGCTGGGGTGGGGCTGGAGAGCCTCCTCCCGCTGTGGCAGCTCTCAGACAGGGAATGCAAAGGGCTGGACTAAGCAGGAGCCTGGGATGAAGCTCAGGATGGGCGGTCAGCCAGCTGTGGGCAGCCTCCAGGTGGGCAGCCCCAGAGCACAGCACTGGGGTCCTGTGGCCCCCCAGCCCAGCCGAGGAGGACGGTGGGGAGGGCTGCTGCTCGAGTCTGCTCAGCCAGCGCCAGGGGCGCCTGGCCTCCTGGGACAGAGCCTCAGTCACCTCTGCCCCCTGGCTCCTGCTGGACACAGGGGTGGCCTGCCCTTAGTGCCAGGCGACGGCCAGCCAGCGAGAAGACCCTTGCAGACCTCGGCGGGGGTCGGCCTCTGCACGCTCAGGTGGCCAGTCTGTTAAGGAGGGCTGTGTCTGCCGGGGCTGCCAGGCCTCCCCAGATAGGGGCCACGCCCAGGGCCGGCTGGCAGTGCCCGGGCGAGGCAGCTGTGCGGTGGAGGCTCAGAGAGGCTCGGTCTTGCCCAAGGCCACGCCGCTTGGGACAGAGCTGGTGGCGGAGCCTGGAGCTCCCAGGCCTCAGCAGGGTCGCAGGCCCCGCTGAGCGCTGGGAACGCCCCCACTTGCAGGTGGGGCCCAGGTGCGCCTGGTTACAGGCACCGGTCTCCACCTGGCAGGGTGAGAGCCCTTTGCTGGCCCTGAAACTGCCCCGGCACTCGCCTGCCTGCCCAGCCATGCATCTGGGGGTCCCCAGGAACCTCCCTGCTCTGTTCTCCAGTCAGTCCTCTGGTGGGCTGGGGCCTGCCAGGTGTCAGCCAGGTATCTGTGGAAGAGCATCCTGGGGTGCTGGCTGGCAGCTGGGGTCAATGGGGGGCCAGGTCACCCCAGAGGCTACTCTGCCCAATGGTCGGCTAGGGGGAGTCAGGGCCAGCCCACAGCCAACAAAGTGCCACTTCAGTAAGCACCCACGGGGTGCAGAGCCTGGTGCCGGAGTCACAAGCGGGGGCGCTCCCTTGAAGGCGCTTCCTGTCCAGTGGCAGAGACAGGCAGCTTCCAGAGCCACGGGCAGCCAGCGTTGAGCCATCCAGCAACCCAGAGGGACCAGATTCTCGGCAGCGAGGGCTTCCCGGAGGAGGCAGGCGAGGTCCCAGCAGCGTCTTAAATTACAGGGTTAAATGAACCCAGCTTATTTCACGCAGATGTCACAACGGCCCAGCTGACAGAGTCCTGCGTTTGTAGTTGAGGGGAACAAGGCTTGGGAGAACGTGAAAATTAGATTTTTTCATCACTCTGCTCAATTATCCGGAAAACATCACTAGTTGGCTAGTTGGGTGCTCGCTGGCCGCCCAGCAGCCCCGGCCGAAGGCTCCCTGAGCAGTGGGACAGAGCTCTGGACAGATCCTGCCTGTGTCCACTGCCAGATGAGGCGCCGCGGAGCCAACTGGGACGGACAAGGTTCTGCCTCCAAGATACCGGGCGGGCGGGGAGCCGGCTGGGCCTTGGGCTCCCCAGAGCCCCTCAGCCGGACTTCACAGCGCTGGGACGCCTCAGCTCGTGGCTGGCCCAGGAAGGCCCAGCTGCCCACTGCACATCGCTGCCCCCACTGACCTCTTTCTCTCCCTGTGGCTGGGAGGTAGCCCTGGAGTGACTTGGGGCTCCTCTTTCTGCAAGGACCCCTTTGGTGAGAAGGGATGCCTCTCCCTAGCCAGGTGGGGTCCTTGTGCGGTGGAGAATGGGAAGTGGGAAATACTGGCCCCGTGTCCTTGCTCAGTGGACCAGGCATAGCACCCCAAGCTCCTTCTCTGGCCTTTCTCTCTAGCCTTGACAGTGCTGGACACCACCCCAGCCTTCTGCCAAGGAGACCCCACCCAGCTTTCAGAGCAGGACTGGTAACACCTCAGTTCTTCAGTCAAACTTATTTGACAAAATATTTTCCTTGATCCTGAGCTAGTTTTTGCTCTCTGAGTGTATGTGCTGAATTGTCCTCTCTTTTATGAAATTGCAGGAATAATAAATGGGGGGCCCTCCCTGGCAGCACAGGGAGTTGAAGCACAGCTCTATGAAGCTGTGCACATCACGAGTTTGGTCCCCGGCCAGGGAGGGACCAAAGGGCGCAGCAGACCCCTCCTGTCTCCCTGCTGCTCCCCTCAGCAGTGCCTTTCAGTAGGTCTGCCTGTTCTGCTCCCCTCTCTGTCTCTAGGGATCCTGTCAACCCCCGTGTACCCCAACATACATAAACATATCCTTAAAAAAGAAATAACAAATGGTATCAATATAAAATCACTACTCGATAGAACTAAAAGTTGGCAGCTCTGTTCCCAGAGTTGCTGAATAAGAGCCAGGTGGTGGGGGTTCGTTATCCTTGAGCATATCTGAAGACACTCATATAAGGTTTCTTTTTTTAGGTCTAGATGGGTTGAAAATTGAAACGTTAGGAATTAGGCCACAAAGGGATTCCGAAAGAGAAGGCGATGAGCTGTGAAATGTAGTTTAGGATGGCGAGGCCAATGCAATGTTTCTGAAGCACTTCCGCGTCCAAAGTCTGTCTGTGGCACCTCACAGCTCCTGAGAGGGGGACAGAGCTCAGATGCCTCCTCATTCAAGAAGTCCTCCCTGACTTCACCCCTTTAGGCTAGTTTAGAATCTCCTTGTAATTGGAGGTTTGGGGGCCCGCTTACATTGGGCGAGGTACTGCATTATGTCACTTAATTACAGTCCGCCCCGAAGTCTGAGGTGGAGGCGCCTGAGCAGGTCCCGGCGCGCCCTCGGACAAGACTGAGTAAAGGGATGCGCAGAGGGGTGGGTGGCAGGGCCCTCCCCGGGTTCCCAGGAGGGCAGGTCCCAGTCTTGGCTGCCTTCTGCTGCCCACGCCCAGCCTCCCGCCCTGGCACTGCCTGGTCTCTGAGTGCCCTGCCGTCACCAGTGCCCCTTGGTCCGGCCCTGGGGCTGCCCTCCCCGGCCTGCCCTGCTCCTGTTCCAACCCGTCTTTACCAGGTATGGCCAGCCTGAGCACACCCTTTTCCCACCCTGAAGTTTTTCCAGGTTCCCCCAGTCTGAGCAAACACCCTTCTTTAGCTGGTCCTCCAAAGTCTCTCCCGCTCTCCTCCCAGACCTGCGGTCACTGTGATCAGTCACCCGGGGTCCACGGAGAGTCTTCCTCATCATGCTTCTGTGCTCCCCTCCCCCGCCTGCCGCCAGCCCCCCTTGCTACCCATACACAGCCCCCTCCCTAACTTGGTTTCGTCCCAACTGTGCTCACTGGCCGTGTGACCTGGGCAAGGCTCCTGCCTCTGGTCAGCAGGCTCAGGGCGAGGGTCATCTGCACTCGCCCTGGCTGCACCCTCCGGCCACAGGCACAGGCAGGTGAGTATCACCAGTACGCACAGATAAGAGCTGGAAAGCTGGCGGCTGAGACCACCCAGCCCAGGTCACTCGGCCTCTGTGGGCCACAGATGGTGTCTGAATTCTCTGTGGGGCCTCTGGAAATGTGGGCGATAGGACAGTTATGCAGCTACCAGCACCAGGGTCTGGCGCCAGGCACAGCCACTGCAGAAGGGGCGCGGCGAGGTGGGCTGGGGGCAACGCTGAGACCTGGCTCCCCAGGCTCTGGGCCTGACCCACTCAAGTGGGGCCCCATGCTCCCTGGGCCCAAGTCAGGGAGGGGACGAGGGAGACCTTCAGGCCAGCTGGGTGGTGCAGCCGCTCCCCGTCCCCAGCCCTGCTGTGGGTGCTGCGTCCCTCCCACACCCCTTGGTCAAACTGACGCTTTATAGGTCCCTGGCACCTAGGCAGTTGGGAAGCCCCTTAGCGTATCACGCCCTCCCTGACCAGCTGGCACCCCAGGAGCCAGGGAGCCTCAGTGCTAAGCTAGGAGGGGTCGGTGGCCTGAGGGTCGGGTGTGTGGGCTTCCTCTCGGCCTGTGGCACTGTCCTTGGGTCCCCACACGCCCTGGTTACCTCTGCCACCTCCTGTCCCTGGCAGGACCCGCGCCCACCACCACCCAGCTACCTCGGCAGAGCGCTTGGCTGGCCTTGAGGCGGGTCTCCGGGTCTTTGTCCCAGGTGACCTAAGACCCCGGTGCTCCTGGGTGTGTCCCTTGGGCCGCCTTCAAGGGCCGCCCCCGCAGGGGAAGAGCAAAAGCATAACCCAACTTCCAGGACGGTGGCCGGCCTCCCTCCCCTGACCCCACATTAATGTGAGTGAAGTGACCACGGAGGGTCACTTCCCTTGGAAAAAGCTAGCCCTGGAGAAGGCGGGCGTCGATCCCACTACCTCTCACACGCTAGCCAACCGCTTTACCACTTGAGCTAATTGCCCACACCGACCCGGCTTCCGCCGCCGCGACGTAATGTGCCTCACGTCATCACCGGTTTCCTCCGACTCCGGCCCGCCCGCCGCCGCCGGTCTCGCTCCTTTGATTGGTTCCCTCGCGGCTCCCGCTCCCCAGTCATGATTGGTTTGGCTCACTTTAGTTTTTAAAAGCACTGGCTATCGGATTGGTGGGCCGAAGCGTACGTCAAGAGGCCTGCTGTTGCTACGGCGCAGGGGCGCCCAGCCGGGTTTCTCCGGGTTTCTGATTTGTTTCTGCAGGCTCCAGGGTCCTAGAGGTTCCGGATCCGTCAAGTCCATGGGAAAAGAATGCCTAACCTCGCGCTTGACGGGCAGGACCTGCGAGCCAATCGGAGCGAGTGTAGCGGAGCCGCTGGGCGACCCAATGGGTCGCGGGGGGCGGGGGCGGGAGGCCAATGGGCGTGCAGCTGGGGGCGGGGACAGGGCCTCGATTGGCCGCTAGGCAGCCGGAGGGAGGGCGGGGGGCACTCAAGGCCTGCTTGATACGTCCGCCATTTTGGGCGCTTCGCGGATGGTGTCGGTGAGCGCGTTTCCCGCCTGAGCGCTACTAGCGGCGGGTCGCGGGC